AGTAGAACCAGAGTGACCGACATAGCCCAACAAATTAGTAAGCTGAAGTGGCAATGGGCCGGCCATATAGCTCGAAGAACCGACAACCGTTGGGGAAGAAGGGCTCTCGAGTGGCAGCCTCGTAACGGTAGGCGAAGTGTAGGGCGACCCCCCACTAGATGGAGTGACTACCTGGTAAGACATGCAGGAGGTCGATGGATGCAGGTGGCTCAGGACTGTGCTTTGTGGCATACATTGGGGGAGGCCTATGTTCAGCAGTGGACTTGTGAAGGGCTGTAATGATGATGATGATGATGATATTTGTATGTAGTCGCCATTTCACAGCAATAAAAATCACGAATTATCCTTAGCTTTGATATAAGATTACTCGTAAACATGTTATGAAGTGAATTGTTATAGAAGACAATGACTCGACTATTTAATTGATTTTCCTAGTCAAAGCAAGGTGTCATACGTTCAGTAACCTGATTTTACCATCCTATAAAAAAGGAAAGTTACATCCTATATACGTCCCACTGCTGGGCACAGGCATCCCCTCATTTCTGAGAGGGTTTTAGGGTAAGGAAATGTCCGCAGCGCTGCCCCGATGCCTGTTGGTGAATTACACATGCCTTCGAAATATTTTTTTTCTTATTCTTAAATGCAGGTTTCCTCACAATGTTTTCCTTACAATGTTTGTTTACCACAAGCACGTGGTAAATCAGCACTTTAAATCGCAATTAATAATTTCATTGGTGTCGGCGGTGAGCGAATCCGGGTTACTCGCGTTCTGTTATATTTACAGCGAGCGTTAATCATCTGAGCTACCACGGCTCCTATAAAGCTATTGCATTATTATTATATAAATTATAGTTCTCATCATAGTATTGTAATCAACTACTTAAAGAAGTCGTTATTGCTTTAATTTATTAATGTAATGAAACTGTATTAATTGTTATCGAGAAATAATTATAGTTTATTTTATATAGTTGAATTCATACTTGGTAACTCTTCTGGTATGAATGATGAGACTGAAAGAGAAAAAGCAGAATTTAGACGTCTAAATAAGAGAGTAAAAGAAGTTGTTGAAAGGAAAAAGAAAGAAAGAACGGATAAGAATGATAGACGGATATCTGATAATTTCCAGGCTAACATAAAAATGTTCTGGAAACTCTTAAGAACTGCCAGGGGAAATAAAAAACAGCCTATAATGAATGCTATAAGAGACAAGAATAGATGTATTCTGAATGATGACGTTTCGAATTTAAACAGATGGAAGGAATACTTTGAAAGTGTGTTTATGAGTGAAAAGTCGTCTGAATTAAATGAACTAGAAATTCCGAAAGAAGTGTAAACGGGTATGGAGATAAGTGTAGATGAAATAATGAAAGCAATGAAAAGCATGACAGCAGGTAAGGCAGCTGGATATGATAGAGTATCACTCGAGATGCTAAGGGCTGGAGAGGGAGTGGTGGCAGGCTTGCTGTACACCTTGTTTTATTTATGTTGGGAATTAAAACGGGTACCGGATGACTGGTGTAAAGCAGTTATAGTACCAATATATAAAGGAAAAGGGTCACAGTAGGACTTTCCCTAGATAAAAACTACCGTGGTAACAGCTTGCTTAGTATTGTGGGTAAACTGTATGCTAAGGTGTTAATTGAAAGAGTTATGAAAGAAACTGAAGGAAAAATTTGGGATGTGCAAGTGGGTTTTAGAAAGGGAATGGGATGTACAGATCAAGTCTTTTCCATACGCATGATTGCGGTGAAGTTTTTGGCCAAAAACTAGAAAGTTTTTTGTGCGTTCATGGACTTGGAAAAGGCTTATGACAGAGTGGACAGGAATGTGTTATGGCAAACACCGAACTCATATGGGTTGAGCGCTGGTTTGATACAGGCATTAAGGTCTCTTTATAGGGACTCTAGTGCTTGTGTCAGGATCAATGGGGTCTACTCGGACTGGTTTGGCATCCAAAAAGGTGTCAGACAGGGCTGTGTAGCTTCCCCTTGGCTGTTCAACCTATTTATGGACAGGTGTTTGCAAACTTTGAAAGATGAAGAATGTGGGTTAAGAATGGGCGAGTTAACCGTCAAATGCCTTTTGTATGCCGATGATCAAGTCATATTTGCGTCATCGGTGGCTGAGTTGCAAATGATGGTAACATTATTGAATTGGGAATTAAAAGAAGGGGGAATGAAAGTGAACGCAAGTAAGACGAAAGTGATGGTTTTTGAAAGAGAAGAAAGCAAAACGGTATGTGAAATAAGAATAGAGGGAGAGTTAATTGAGCAAGTGGATGAGTTTGTGTATTTGGGATGTGTATTTAGCAGGGATGGTAGATATGATAGGGATATAGAACGACGAGTAAATGCAGGGAATAGAGTGAATGGGGCACTACACTCTATTAAGAAGAACCAGAATGTGTCAAAAAAGGCACGATGGTTACATAATGCTGTGTTAGTCCCTACTTTAATGTATGGTAGTGAAAGCTGGGTGTGGCTGAAGAAGCACGAAAGTAGAATAAATGCTGTAGAAATGCGGTCTTTAAGGAATATGCTAGTGTTGAACCTGAACGACAGGGTGAGAAATTGCGTGATAAGAGATAAATGTAGTATGGAAGATGATGTCGTGACCAGGATTAAGAAAGGAATGCTTCGGTGGTTTGGTCATGTAGAAAGAATGAATGAGGAAAGAGTGACAAAGCAAATTTATATGGCAGATGTGAACGGCCGAGTCGGGAAGGGACGCCCTAGAAAAAAGTTTATCGACCAAATTGGCAATATTTTGAAAATGGGCCACGTTAGAAGTACCCTTAACCGACGAGCATGTATGCGTAGATATATGGATGTAAAAGAGGCGAAAGAGGTATGTCAGGATCGTGCCAAATGGAAGTCCGTAGTCTCTGCCTACCCCTCTGTGTGACAGGCGTGAGTGTTTATGTATTATGTATGTTTGGTAGAGCCAAGCTGCAGTTATAATATGGTTGGAGCGCGAACGCTTAGGCTCGATAGGGGAAGGACCACGCTCTCACAGATTACCAGCGTAAAATAGCAGCTTCATGATGTTGTTGCTGTACACTCATCATATGCAGCACACATATGATGAGTGTGGAGTAACGGAGACCATTTTTACTAGAAACGAGGCATTACATAGTAGTTCTCAGAGGTGACAACGCATCTGCATTTTGATTCTTAACTTTAGATAAAAAGAGATATCTATGGGCCACGGCATCCCCTTACCATCAGGTGGACTGTGTACTCGTTTGTCACCCCCATTCTGTAAGAAACCTTGAGAACTGCTCCCGACACTTAATATTAAACTTAATAACAAACAGACACAATTAATTATATTAAAGACACAACAGTTAAAGTTTATAACTTTGTTAAAATTAGGAAAGACAAATTAGTTATATTTGGCAGAAGTTGAATTCGATCTCAATTAAAGTCAAGACATAATTGCTAGTAAATATTTTATAAGATATATTTTAAACAGTATTATTGTTTATATAATATGTGTTACTTATTTTTACTGTTTTTAATTTAAGTTTTATTGTTTAATGTTGTGAATTGGTATGAACTTACAACAATACACTAAGTTAATAAATGAAGAGTCTGGTGAATAAAACCACTTGATATCCGCAGCGTTTTTTATAAAATTCACTTGTTGGTTTATTTTGCATAAAATCTGAAAGTGATATTCGCACACCTGGAATTATTTTTGTTTTACACAATCCATAAATCTGTTTTATTTTTTAATGTGTTACTTTATGTGACGTGACGTTGACCACATAGTTGGCTTAGAATTAAATTAAAAGTCTATAGTCTATTCCGAATATGTAATATATAACAATTTTCAATTTTCCTTCCCTCTTCCAGATTTCAAATTTCCAAATAAAGTCCCTGGATAGTTTAGATTTACAATTGGACCCGGTAGATTCAGAAATCACCCATGTGAAGCAAAATATAATCCTCAAACTCACATTTTAAAAGCTTGTAGTTTCAACTGTCAAAAAACAGTACCCTTATTTTTTGTTTTATGTTTATATGTCTTAATGTATCACAGTATATATAAAAATATATAATAAACAATCATAATAAAAATATTTTGAATTAATTAAAGTATAAATACATAATTTTCCTTTTCTTCCACGCCAAAAGTCGAGAAAAAAATAATTTTAATATAATATATTTCTGTAAGTATGTACATATTTCTATTTCTGTTTATTGTTATTTGTTATTTAAGGCACTTGCCACCAATTTTTCAACACGCCATGGGTTGACCGACAAAGAATGCTGTCTGCCCTTTTTTACCTTTATGGTTAGTTACGTAATGTTTTAAACTAAATAAGTTAAATTATAAGGTACCACAAACTACTAATTACAATACAGTTTTGTTTCACATTAAAATCTTCAAAGTATTTTTCACTATCTTTGTCAAAAACATTTCCTTAACAGTAAAATAGGCCTCCAGTTCTCGTCACTTAATCACATAAGGGAGTTTGTTGCGCAGATAAAGACGCCGTAGAAGAAAATTTGCCTGCTACGAATGGAATTTGGGTCATTCAAATTTTTGTTGAAGCCCGTGTAACATCAGTAGATTACAAAAAGTAACAAAAAGATTAAATTTTAATTTCTCGGAAAACTGCCGGTAAGAAATAATGCTGTCAAACCTAAAGTGGGCGCGTCTTTTTGCAAAACGTTAGTGGGCGCGTGGAGAGCATTTCGCCGCCCATTTAATTTGATCATTTAACTAGAAACACAGCAATTAAATTTATTTATTTTCTCATGATCTAAATAATACAATAATAAGTAATGATAAATCAACATATTTATTAAACTATTTTAAAAAATTTGGTTTACAAATGACTTTAGGAAACTTAATATTTAAATAGACTTTTTTCTCTTATCCTACATAATAATCTTTAATACTTAAGAAAAATGAAGAAAAAAAAAGCAAAATTGTATATTTTCTAAATCTACAGGATATGCTTTATCAAAAAACTCTTTACAAAGCTATGTTCAATGTTCGTTGCACAGTAACTTTGGGCACCAGGAACACCCTTTTTTCGTGCGCCTGTTTTTCTTTGAGGAACATATACTGCATTTGCCCTCCTTCTTTGAAGAAGATGCTTGTTCTGCTGGTACAAAGCTAGAAATTTTGTTCCTTAGGGGAATATTTAAAGTGTCTATAGAAGACCTTGTGATCATATATTGCTTGACAAGTTCCATGGCAATTTCTTTCAAATACCCTCGGCGTAGCATCAATTGTTCAGTATTGGCGTTATATATAATTTGACTGTTTATACCAGCAATATTCATCACCGAAAAAAACAACCTCATTGGCCATCTGCCAGTCATTCTCCCAACAGAATATTCTTCCTTCATACTTATATCTGAAGTGGATGTCCTTTGGCGTCGAATAGGTGGTATTTCGGAAGGCATACCAATTGGAGAAGATACTTTCGTGTTAAAAGCGTCGCTTTCTGTTGACTGTTTTGTTTCCGTGTTATGCTCACTATGATGACAAGATCGATCACTATCTGACACATATTCATCAACAATCTGTGTACTAGCATCTTCAAAATCAGATATTTCCTCTAGCCACGACACAATTTGAGAGTCCTTTTTGTTATTCATATTTATTATTATTAATAGGTACTTTTAAATTCTAAAACAAAAATGGTTTTTTTATAATTATTTCTTATATTTACGCGAACACTACACATTGAAATAATACTAGTTTTTACGGAATTTTTTGCGTATATTTAACTTTTTAAATACCCGACGTTTCGAACGCTTTACAGCACTCATGGTCACGGGCGGGACTGAGTGTTCAACGTCCAGATGTCATAGTTAACCGCGGTTACCATAGATTAAAATTTAACTTTTGTTCCGATCTACACAGTATGAACTTATGGTATCTTGAAGTCTTGCAGTTGTATGCTTGGGTTGGGATTTAATTTTATTTATTATAGGATCCCAAGCAGATGGTAGCACTCAGCCATCTTCTCTATTGAAATTAGGATGTTTTTTATTTCAATAGCCTCGCGAATCATCCTTGGAACGAATCGGTGTTCTTTAGCGAGGATTTGTGGTCTATCAAATCTGATGTAGTGACGGGGGCGATCCGGTACGTGTTCACAGACTGCAGACTTCCCGGAGCGTCGATTATTCACATCAGCTATATGTTCTTTAACGCGGGTTTTAATTGATCTTTTAGTTTGTCCTATGTAGGAGAGACCACATTCACAATAAAGGTTGTACACTCCTGCATCTTGCAGAGGGACATTACACTTGACTGATGGTAAAAACTGACCAATCTTTTTCAGCGGCTTGAAGTATGTTTTGATGGAAGCGCGCTTCAAGATGTAGCCAATCTTGTCAGTGACTCCTCTAACATATGGCAGTACAGCGGGTACACGCTCGACCGTGGCCGGCTTCACTCGTTCACTGTGGTTTTTTCTTTTTCCTTTAAGTTTGCAAAAAATACATTACACAATACTACTTACGTGAGTGGTACACCCGATTGTAACAACTTGCTCCTCAAGCGGTCCCTCGCGCACTGACAGCGATTACGGCGTCAGGGTTGCCGTTCTACAAATTTTAAAGTCCCTAGACAAACAGAAAAAATCCGCCAGAAAAAGCAGTTTTCTTTTTCATAAAATTCGCAAGATGTCCCTAGGTACATTTTCGTGCTACTATAGATTTTTCAGTTAGCACAATGGCTTTCTGAAAAATCTTGCCAAATCGTATACAATAAATACTTATTGTCTATAAATTCAGAAAAACCTTAAAAAGAGCGGACTCTATTTTATATAAATCAGTTATTTATGGTGTAGGTTTATGACATGACAACCAAAACAAAAACAAGTCATGTACAAAATAAAAAATATTGTGAAAAATAAATCTTTAATCTTTAAACCACATTCAAACATTAGTCATCTTATTAAAAAAATGCAATTAGCTCAGTACCTTCCTGGACCTAAATTTCAAAATCAATAGCGAAGTAGGGATCCAGATCTACAAAAAGAACTTCAGCGGACGTTGAAGCTTCGTCAATGTCTCCAGTTCCCATTTTTGGTTTGCCTTTACCGATTTTTATTACAACATCTTCAAGAATATCATACGTTGCACAATTCTTTTTTTTTAAATCTTTTACTGATTTCTAATCAGAAGAAGGAAAATTGAGCTATGTTCAGCAATGTACAAAGCTAATGTGCATTCAGATCTTGATCAATCTTGGCATATTTGTGTTGCGGTGGAAGAAAATGTCAATTGTTTATTTTGGGAAAGCAATTCGCATTGTTTTTTATGTTTCTTCGTTACCAAATACTTTTTAAGGTCGTTTAATTTCGCATACATTTCAGAGTTATCTGGTACGGGTTTCAGCCAATGTTTGAATTCTTCATTATTCTCCCACTCCCTTCTGTAAAGCTAGGTGTAGTACTGTTTATTCAACGGAGCTTCCATACTGCCTAATCTTGAAAAGTAATATTTTTCACGCGGAATATTCACCCACTACAGTCACAAAATATGAACTCTAAAGAAATGAGCCTGCCGAATTAAACATTGGTAACGTGAGCAGTATTTTTATCTCACTCATTAGTGGTAGTAATAAATGAAACAGATGATAAGTAAACGAACGACATAGAATTGTTAGTTTTTGTTCGGGAATTCCCGTGAAATTATATTACATATGCAGTGTTACCAGCGGTAGATTACAAAATTGAACATAGGATAAAGGTAAATAATTTATTTGAAATGAATTACTTTATAAAAAAAAAGTCGCCATCTCAAAAATCCAAATGTCGCTAGAAGTCGCTAAATAATTATTTCTCGCTAAAACGATTTTTTTTATCCGCTAAACATTGTTAAAATCCGCTAGATCTAGCGAGAAAGTCTCCAAAACGGCAACACTGGATGGCGTCCAGCCTTTCGGCACGTGTTGCAAGTGAGAGTGGGGGCAGCTACTAAAAAGCGCAAACCTCAGTTGTTTTAAAAATTATAACCGTTTTTTTAGCGCGGACCGCAAAATGCTCAATAGCGCGCCCACTCGAGGGTAAAATATGATGCGAGAAAAATTAACAATTAGAGCTCACTTATGTAGATAATTGAGTAATAAAACCATAAAACGATAGGATCTCAATGCTGCTGGAATTAGTTCATTAGAAAAAATCATGACCAAAACATGTTATCATGATTTGGTCATTATTTTTTTTTCAGTAAAGAGACACAATTAAATCCCAAATCAAAAAAAAAATAATGAATGTAGACAGAGAACAGAGAGAAATAAACCAGGAGACGGGCAGCGTTTCAAAATAAATATCGCTGTGTTTTGTGTGGCGAGTGTAGGGAACCCGGGACACTTTTGACTGGAAACGAGGCATTACATCTTAGTCAACAGGGGGAGAACACACATCTGCAATGTAGATGTCAATGGAGCAGAATCCACTTACAATTAGGTCGACTTTGTCACTGTTATTCTATAAAAACATTCATAATATCCAAAAAGTTCTGGGTTACGTGAACAAAAAGTTTCTATGCCACATTTTATTCCTCGTTCGTGTAAGTTTTAGTACAGAACGTGATCATAAAATATTAGAGTGTACTTGTAACTTAACCTTTATATTGGCCTGGAGTTATATGATTATATTATAGTATATATATATATATATATATATAATAGAAACAGAAACTTTTTTATTCAATGTAGATTATAACAAATACTTATTGAAAGTCACTTTTTTCATTTACTACTGGTTCGCAAAAAAAAAACCTCTGTCCTGGGAAGAACCTGCAAAAAACCCAGCGGGACTATTTTTTTCCAATAATAGCTTACAATCATGTTTACAATTAGCAACACAAGACAAATTAGAAATAGCTTGGTAGCGATCACCCTTCCCACGGGTTATTATCATCCGTAAATTCCTTAATATTATAATAACCCTTTTTATACAAACTTAGTTTAATAACATTTTTGAACTTTGCGTATGGTAAATTTTGTATATTTTCTGGGATTTTGTTGTAAAAGCGTATACATCGCCCCAAGAATGAATTACTGCTTGAGTCTGTTCCTAGTATTGACAGAATGAATATCACTCATTTTCGCAAAACTATTTTTATCTTTGTGTACGTACATTACATTTTCACAAACGTATTTAGAGGCCAGAGTTAAAATATTAATTTCCTTAAATTTTTGTCTCAGTGACTATTTTGGTTTTAAATTATATATTGCTCTAATGGCCCTCTTCTGTAAAATAAATATAATTTCAGTGTCAGTCGCGTGTCCCCATAGCAAAATATAATACGAGTTAATGCTATGGAAATAACTAAAGTAAACTATTCTAGCTGTTTCAACATTGGTAAGAGTTCTAATCTTTTTTACAGCATATGCTGCAGAACTAAGTCTGCTAGCTAGTTTTGATATATGGGGGAGCCATTGAAGCTTTGCGTCTAGTGTGATTCCAAGAAAAATGGTGGTATCAAGAAGACTCAGTTCCTCCCCATTTAAATTACATTAGTATTGACATGTTTAACATTAGGAGTTACGAATTTCATGCATTTAGTTTTAGTTCCATTCAAATGCAAATTATTAACATTAAACCAGTTGACTAACTTAGCTAGCATTATTTACTTCGTCGTAATTTAAGTAAGTAAGTAATAAGTTATTACTGTCGTTTTAATTTGAAAATTAATGAAGTATCATCAGCAAATAATACTATATCATGGTTATCCCCTACTATGTAAGGTAATTCATTAATGTATACAAGAAACAGAAAGGGTCCGAGAATTGAGCCCTGAGGCATGCCCATTTGTACAATCGACCCAGAAGAACTCATACTATTAATAACAACTTTTTGCGTTATGTAACTTAAATATGAAATAATTAATTTAAGAGCATCGCTTCTTACTCCGTAGTGTTGAAGTTTACTGATTAATGTTTCATGGTGAACACAATCAAAGGCTTTGGATGGGTCACAAAACGCACCCAAAGCATCCTGTGAATTCTCCCATGCATCAAATATATATTTAATCAGCTCAACACAAGCATTGGTTGTCGAGCGACCCCTTGTGAAACCAAATTGATTTTTATGAAGTAAATTATTTACATTATAATTAACATTTAATCAAGAATAATTTATATATATATATATATATATATATATATATATATATATTATATATATATATATATATATATAAATTACTTGTCACATTGTTTGTCCACGATGAAGTCCTAAACCACTGAACTGATTTCAATGAAATTTTGCACATTGCGTGTACTTTTTCCAACTTGAGAGATAGGGTGGTTTTTAAACCGATAAGTAATTCTTAATTTTTTAATTGCATATTTAAGTTTTTTTACAGGAAAGTAGTAGTATAAAGGCCAGCTATTTTACAATAAATATTAGACGATTTTTTATTGAATAAGGGTGATAAGTGACCACAAAGTAAACTCGATGACGACTGGATGCTGTAGCCCATAGACATCTACATCTATCTTCAATTATAATCGAAATGTAGATTCGTTGTCCCCTTGAGAGCTAAACTGGAATTCATTTTCAATAATAAGGATATCTGGTTATCTACACTCACCATAAGAAATGCAGCAGTACCGAGCTTCTAGTTTACGTTGG